TGACACGGCGAGCGATCGCATGCTTCTGCTTAAAATCAAGAAGTCTCTCTGTGGTTCTATTGTACCGGTACCTGCCCCACGCAGCACGTTTCAAACGTACTGCACGAGCACAGGCAGGAGACCACCAAGGCACGCATTTCTGAGAATGCATGCCCGAAGTTTGGGATATAGAATGAGAAGCTGCGGTTAAAACGGAGGACGAGAAGAGGTGTAAAAGCTCATCAATGGAGGATGAAGAAGGAACCTCACTAAAAACAGTTAGTTGTGAGTAAAGGTTCCAATTTGCCTGATCAAATTGCCAGCGTAAGTTATGAAGAGGTGGTGAATATGAAGGGGAAGTAAGAATGATTGGGAAATGATCGTTGTCATGTAAATCTGGGCAAACAGACCAGGTGAAGTCTAATGCGACGGAGGAAGAGCAGACTGAGAGATCGATGCAAGAGAGAGTATGGGTCCGAGGATCAAAATGGGTGTGAGTATCTGTATTTAAAACATGGAGCGGGTGGGTAGCAAGAAAAGCCTCTAACTGAATGCCACGGGAATCACAGTGAGACCCCCCCAGAGGAAATGATGGGCATTAAAATCGCCAAGTAACAGAAGTGGTGGCGGTAATGACGAAACAAGAAAGGCAATATCTGGGATAGATAATGCCTGAGAAGGAGAGAGATACAAAGAACAGAGTGTATACCACCTATGCAAGTGGATACGGGCTGCTGTGTAATGCAGCGAAGTATGAACAAATAGCTGATGGTACGGAATATCAGTGCGTAGAAGAAGGGCACTTTCATTAAAGGTCCCATCAGGAAAAGGATCTGAAGAATACAATAAATTATAGCCTGAGATAGGATAGATAACGACAGTGTAATTTTGGTTCATGTAAGCAAACACCAACAAGGACAAACTGGGAGAGCAACATCTGAAGCTCACCCCGATTAACCCTGAGGCCACGAATATATATTTCCACTGTAAATAGGTCATGATTGGCAACGATGAAGATACCTGAAATCCGCAGGTAAGGGTACCTACGGACTAAAAGGGTTAGAAAAGTCCACATGCGGTGGCAAAGGAAAACGTTCAAGTAGCGAAGGAACGGTGTGTTGTGAAGAAAGGAGTTGCACAGGTGTTTCGGAGTTCAGAGACGTCGTATGGGAGACAATATTGGAGATGGAAGGAGGAGAAGTTTGAGTAAAGATCGGAGCTGTAATGGACTGTACCAAGGTAGGGGGGCGAAATGGTGGAGGGAACTGGAGAAGTGTGGGAGGGGACAGAAGAGGAAGAAACTTGGGAGGGGACAGGGGAGGAAGGCACAATACGAGGAGGAAGATGAACCTCCACACTTGTAACAGAGCCAGTGAAAGGGGAAGACTCAGGTACAGAGACCGGGAAGGTAAAATGTGGAGGTGGATGAAGGGAAGGAGGGGTTAAAGGAGATTTTTTGGGCCTCTGAGATGTAGAGGGACGATTGGGAGGAGGTGTCGTACGAGGTCTTGTCGATACCGGGGTTTGTGAGGGAGGACACGAAGAAGTGAGGACAGACTGAGGAGTTGAAGTAGGGACGTCTGAGCCCAGGACAGCAAAAGAATTAGATACAGGAGTGACTATGGGACTGGCAACCGCAGAGGAGGCTGCAAAAGATGTGTCCCCAGAAGTGGGGGGACGCTTTGAAACACGAGAATAAGAAACACGGGGCAGCCTCCCTTGGAGGCGGAGATGAGAAACCGCCATAGCATAAGGGAGACCTTCTGCCTCTTTGAGGCAATGAATTTCCCGCTCATTTAAGTAGACCTGCCAACGGCGAGAGCACGAAGGGTGAGCCTCATGACAATTAAGGCAAGAGGGAGTTCGACTGCAAGACGTATTAAAATGGTCATCTGCACCAAAGACTGGGCATTCGGCTATAGATCTGCAATATTTTGCTGGGTGGCCAAATCAACAGCAATTCCTACACTGTTGCGGTGTAGGGATCACCTTCCGAACTTGTAACCGATGTCCTGCTACATAAACAGAGGATGGGAGTTCACGGCTGTCAAAAGTTAAACGAGCCACATTGCAAAGGTATCGTCTTCGCCCGCGGGCAGGAAGAACACAAGTGTCTTCCTTGAGAATTGGGAGATCTTGGAGTTCCAGCTGTTCGAGAATGTCAGTGCCACATGTCTGGAAATTCTGTTGGACTATGGTATGGGGCAGAATAACAGTACCACTACAAGAATTGAGGGAATGATGTTTTTCGATAGTGATAGGAATAGTGCCGATATGTGAAAGAAGAGAAAGATCATGAGCTTGGGTAGAATTCTGGACTGTGATGATGTGCGTACCACTCTTAAGAGCATGAAAGGAAATATCTCTACCAACATGGCATAGGAGCGCTTTGCCAATACTATGGTTGGAAAGATAGGCAGTAGAAGAAGTCGGTCTTAATGTAAAGAATTTAGTCCATTGTGTGGTCTGAAACCGAGTGTGGAGAGGGAGTGTATGACGTGTCGGTCTTTTCCGAGTAGAAAGGGAAGGTAACGAAGTAACATCATTAGGAGATTGTCGTTGACGTTTAGAAGTGGGACTAGAGTCGGTCCGACGTGGGACGGGCCGGCGATTCAAAAATCGCCGCACCATAGAGGGAGAAGCCGAAAGCATAGTCAAAGGAGAGCGGAGGTCAGACAAATCGAAGGAGTCAGTGGAAGCCCCGGTACCTGAAGCGGGTGAGGAAACAGCACCAGCAAGAGGTACAGGGGCCTTAGGAATGTCTGAAGAGTGGCCAAAAGATGAGGCGAGGTCAGAACAGGTTGCAGTAACAATAAGGGGCCTGGGGGTAGCGGGGTCATGGATCAGGTACTCCATAGTTAGGTTACTTCTTTCTTTTTGTTTTTAAGGAAAAAAAAAAGAAAGAAAAGAAAATAAAAATAAAAAAAAGAATAAAAAAAGGGGAGACCAGGGAGGGATAGTTCCTAGGAGGAATGAAAGAGCCAGAAATCTTTCTCCGCGCCCAAGAGGACCTCAGCACCGCAAGTAGCGCAGATGCAGCATGGAACCCGTGCCATACCCTACCCATCATGCCAGTAAACCAGCAATCCGGGATAGCAACCTCACATCTGCCGAGCTACCTCGGTGGACAAAAGAGAGTGCGGCCGGATATCCGCTACAAAGCATACCTCCTTCGGCCACCACCCCCGGAATCTGAAAGGTGGCTTCCAGAGATACACCCGTCGCCCGAAAGACACCCAAAGCCACCCTCCGGGATACCGGAGAGGGATCGGGACATCCCCAGGCAATCCAGATTCCATGGCAAACTACGCCACCGCCAAGATGGGATGGACCCCGGTACCCTTTCCCCTACCTAGGAACTAGCGCGCCTGTGGGAAAAAATCCCAAAGGCCAAAAAGGAAGGGCAAAAGGGAGGGGTGGTTAGGAGGAGGAGGAAAGGAAAAAGGGGAGGATGGGAGAGGGAAGGGGGGATTGGGGGGTAATTAGGTTCGGTCTGAGGAAGGAGACCGACAGGTCTAATTCCTCAGACCAAGAGCCTCTTCACCACGCCAAGGAGCCCCCCCTTGAAGATGTTGATAAGTCCAATTCTTTGGATCAAGAGCCCTTCATTGGCATCAATGCACCTCTGGAGGGAATGCTTAGTTAAAACAAGTAGTTATATTGTATTTCTGGTGAAAATGACAATTTGTATATAACTACTGAATTTTATAAATTATCATGCAGAAACTGCAGCTGTTAAGTAACGATTATGCTAAAAAATACTGTATTACATGTATAGCAAGCTACAATTATGTGAGCATAAAGGTTGCATATTTTATTAACTATTTTAGCTTAAAAGGCAAGAATATCATGATGCTAGAAACAAAAAATAACCTCTAGATTAATTTTCAGAAGTAGCCATTCATCACAAAAGCACCATATATTAACAGCTTTAAAACCAGTATTGTTAATTATTAGCTACATGAATGAGATTAAATTTCACACAAATCCTTTTGCTGCCATTTGCAGAAAAGATATTGTCATAGCTATAGTGTCCATTTAACAAATGAAGTACCTTTCTTCAAATGTTTCTGTACATTTTGAATATACAAATTCAATACTGGGACTAATGCAAAACTTTGATGACACTTTCTAAAAACAAATCTTATTTCTTCTTGCAGATCAGTGTCAAATATTTTGCTGTTGATTTACACAATGTAAATTTTCAGGAATAACTGTGGAAGCAAAAGCCTTCTTCATATATTCATTGTTCAACAGCTGTTATCACACCGTGGACATTAGTGAAACCAGACCAGCATTCTCGACCTAACTACCAATCAAGACAAATTTTTTCGTAACCTACAACTTTCACAACTGCCTTTTCCTCACTGCAAAGAGTATAACAGACTGAAAAGTCAAGAGTTAATAAAAAAAAATATTTTTGAAATATTTTGAATGCTTGTTGTCTTAAATACAAGAACAGGAGGTAACCAAAATGGAGTACGTATAGTGTAAATTCTTTAATATGTAAGGTAAACTAAATTCACAAATAACCCACACTGGAAACCTGAGATAACATTCCTTCTGAAAGAGTGGGTTGTTTATGAATTGTTCCAGCCACTGTATTATGCCTTTCATTCTGAAATTATGTTATTTTATATTATGTATTTTTTTTTTAGCAAGGTTAGATTACATTGTTAGTTTTGGTCCAAAGTAAAACAAACTGGCATATAAAAAAAATTGCACAGCTATTTCATACTTTTCCTTGAGAAAGGGGAAAAAACTCTTCAGGTGACCACCAGAATGTTTCAAGAAGATTACACGTGACCCCTCAGCCTGTTTTTAATGAAAGATTTGATTACATAATAAGACACAAGATTGGGTTCTATTCCTTTCCACTACATGCTAGGCAAAATGGAACAGGTAAACAAAATCTTGCTGCTCTCTCTCCCCCTCCCCACAAAATAATCCACGATTGAAACTGAAATTAAGATTTGTTTAAAAACCTTAGTTAAAAAAATGGTGGTGTAATATAGCCTGTGTAATTTCAAGAAAAAAATTTATTTTTTTAAAAAGTAGCATTTACATAAATGGTCAGAAAATTAAATTCTCAGGCATAATTTTCTCCATGCTCATAAATGAATTCCTGCTACTATTAAAATCTGGCTAAAGCACTCGCAGAAAACATGTGCTCTATATATTAATTTGTAAAATGTCGATATTTATTTCCAAGCATAAGCCGTCAACCAATACTTGACAGCAAAGATTTATACTTCAAACAAAGGATTTTATAATAAGTAATGATTTTAGAAAAATGCTGAATACCTTTCATACATAATTTTTAGAGTTGGGTTATAAGGAAAAAATAACCCTGTCACAGATAGTTCTGTTTTCTGATAGTTAACACTAAGCACAGCCATGAAGTGTATCACTCATCTAACTGCAAATGTCAGATTCCTAGATAAAACTCAGATGTTTCCAGGTAATTACTGATAAAACCTTCGTACTTACACAATTATGGAAGCACTGAGAAACTACAAAGGCACACATTCAAAATCCTCTAAAGAAATGTATAAAACCTACTGCTTAATATGATTTTTCTTTGGCTTTGTGATGTTAAGTACCATAAACATAAACTAATGGAATGTTACAAGTCCTACCTTAAAAATAATAATAATTTTATGATTTTTATACTTGACACCTTTAAGGTTCAGAAACAAGTAGAATATGTATCATGCTAAAATTTATGTTTGTTAGAATGTTTAAATAAAAATTAAATTGATAATGCACCAAAAAATAATTCAATATGACTATTGGTGTGCTGCCTTAGTACTACAGATATGTAATACATAATACATTCTAACTTAAAGAATATCATATTTTTTTTTTAACTAATAACAATTAGGACTTTATAATAATTAGCAAATATAAAATTTATATAAAATATTAAAAACAAAGTGTTTTCATAATCTTACAATAAAGAAAATATTAGAGAGCTATGGCAAAAGAATAGGAAGCACCCAACACAACCACAAGAAAAATAATCCAAGGAACTCGTTTTAGAAAAAATTACGAGCAGGATAACGTATCACTCAAAATACTTATGACAAAATTAATCAGTCATACCTATAGCTATAATATTGCAAAATTACCAATTATTCCTGAGGCGGTACTCCAGTGACATGCCATGGATTATCACAACATTGATACAATGCAATTTTTCAAGGTTTCTTATTACCCACACATTTTATCTGGTAAGTTGGCATAAACTGTATGTCCAACACACTCGCTATTTTCCATGAGTAATGTTTACACATAGTACAAGGTATGGTCCATGATGCATATCAGACATTAGGTCCAGTTAGCACCAATATGGATACTACTTAATCACAACACATTTCCACCATTAAACTTTGTTAAGCTTCAATATTATCTATGCTGCAAAATTACAGAATATATTTAATTTCACCAATTATAACTTAGTTTTGGGCCAATTCCTTTAAAATGCCACTAACTTGTTTACCTTCTGCTTCATTTACAATTGCAAAGATTTAGTTTGTTTTAACTTCTGGTGTAAAATACTTGTACAATTTTTGAGGATTAATTACACTTCTGCTTCATCTGTAGTGGTGGTAATAACTGTAGTGGTGGTAACAAGAGAGCTAAAAGGCTCAGAAGCTTCATCACCAGTTTCCTCCGTGCAGTTCGGTCTGATGAAACCAAATCAAGCATTAGAAAATCTGACAAGAATTCTAATACTACCTACTGCAGTTTGTTTATAGGGGGACAGTTATTATTAATTCAAATTAAGTTGAATTTCCTTTGATGTTTTGTATCATGCATTAATTACAGCCATTATGATAACTTAGATGCATATTATTAATTAACAAAAGTTTTTATAGTAGAATCCTGCAAATGCTATATAGTTTCTGTACATGTAAGAGACATTACTCTGAATAATTCTTAATTTCTAATTTGGGCAACTGTTTAGTGGAACTGATCATGGATAGAATTATATACAACTTAGAAAAGACAAATACATATAAATTTAAACATATTCTATGGACCAACAGAGATAAAAGCTACATCTCCCAGTGATCTGTCCAGTAGATAATGCTTGCACAGTATTTAACCCTTTGACTGTTTACGTCATATATATACGTCTTATGCACCTGTTTCTGACGTATTTATATGCGTAAATTCTAGCGGCTTCAAATCAAGCGGGAGAAAAGCTAGTAGGCCTACATGAGAGAGAATGGGTCTGAGTGGTGGGTGTGCACTCTGTGAAAAAAATCTGGGACTCAGTGGTGCATTGTGGGAACGCCATCTTGGTAGTCCATTTTCACCATGCCTCACAGTAAGAAGTACCTCACTCCTCGGCAGATTGGAGGTCTTTTGTTCCCAAGTAATAGCTCTAACAGCAATGAAAGTGTCAGTGAAAGTGAATTCCATGGTTTTCAAGTGGGTGTGGCTGAAAAAAGTGCCCAGGATAACGTAATTAGTGATGAAAACCCAGATGACCCACGACCTTCCACCTCTGGTGCTGGGATGGCTCGTTCACGTTCACCTGTACCAGGACAAAAGAGGAAACTATTTGCCTGTGTACAAGACTCTGATGTGAGCAGTGAAAGTGAGAGTGATAGTGATTTCAAAATTATTGAAAGCAGTTCTAGTTGTGACAGTGAGGGTGAATATTCCCCAGTGAAGTGGCAGTATATATGACATAGCATGCAGTCTGGTAGTGTTTCATATGCTGTTCCAAGGGGAAGGAGTAAATCTCGGAGCACATCCCGTGGCCCTACACCACGACCTGAGAGTGAAGATGACGCTATTGTTATGATGGGTATGAATGATGTGAGTGAGGCAGCAGGTGGTGGTGGTGATAGTGATGATGGCACGAGTCATGTGGCACCGGCAGCAGGCCATGCTACTACCCATGCTGCTACTACCCAGCCTCACCCAACCGCACACTCCCACAACCTGTACAACCACATAGTGATAATGTTTGTTCAGTTATTGTGTTGTAAACAATGAGTGTATATTTGAACAATGCACCTTACTTTGGTCTCACAGGCCATATAAGTTACTTAGAAAAGAAAAATATTGGAAAATGCAAGAAACCTTCGAACTGGAGTAAATAAAAGAATACCAGGTGGGTGGCATTCGCCGCTATTGCCATACACCGCTCATTTTCTGCCAACTTTGTGCCTCTGTATCTCAGTAAGTACTGATGGCAACAAAATTTTTTTTAGGAATAAAACACTCAGTAAAATAATCCTAACATTCTGATAAGATTTTTTTTTTTTCGAATATTTTGCGACATAGAATGACAGTTTCAGAAAGGGGCCTGTGACAGTCAAAGGGTTAAAATACCTTTCTAGATTGTACTAGTTTCTTGGTCCTTGAAAAATATTTATTTCTATATTTATCAGAACACAGCAAAAGAAAATATAGGTAGAGCATCTTAACAGACCGGTAATTTTTATCATGGTACAGTATGCGTATCTGTTCTTTAACAAACAATTTTAACCTGGGTCTAGTCTAAAATGCTACACATACTAGGAGTTTTGCAGGTATCAGTTTCAATACAAACCTACCTGTACAAACCCTGCATAATATAAATTATAACCCTATCTGTAATCACTGCTTATGTGTATGACCATGTCATGTCTAATATTTTTTAGATGGTTAGTGTTTTTAGTTGTGGGGTGAACACCAAGACTTATCAGCATCTCTTACTTAACCCTTTCAGGGTTTCGGCTCTACTAGTACGGCTTACGTCCCAAGGTCCTTGATGTACTAGTACTCATAAATTCTAGCGCCTTCATATCTAGTGAGAGAAAGCTGGAAGGCCTACATATGAAAGAATGGGTCTATGTGGTCAGTGTGCGTAGTATAAAAAAAATTCTGCAGCACACAGTGCATAATGAGAAAAAAAAAAAAAAAACTTTAACCGTGTTTTTGGATTAAAACAGCGACTTTGCACTGTATTTTCTTATGGTATTTATTGTTGTATTCTAGTTTTCCTGGTCTCATTTGATAGAATGGAAGACATATTACAGAAATTGAGACGATTTTGACTGGTTTTACAATGAAACTGAGCTCAAAGTAGCAGAAATGTTCAATTTTTACCGAAGTTCAAAAGTAAACAAATCATACTAAGTGTCCAATACATGTCAACTGGTGCGTCTAATATTCTTTCACAAGTGCGCCGATATTATTTATACCATTTCTACACTAACGCAGTAGTCTGCATAACAGTAAATCGTCTATTTTTTGTGAATAAAAATTCAAAATGGAAAGCAAAAGAATGTAAGAGGAGCATGGGGACATGAGTAATGAACAGAAAAAATGTTATTTTAGTGCCAGGAATGTTTGTCTTGTTTATTCTGGACCCTATTTGGAAATTAGCATCTTTTGAAATTTGTGTGAAATTGACAAAATTGCTAAATTGTGACCACTGTATTGGATAGTTGAAATTGGTAAATGGGTGGTTTCTTGTACTCATTCTATAGAAAAAATGGAGTTCTAGCAAAATAGGTATGATTTTTGTCAACTAGTACACTGGAATTGGCTGAAAATAGGGCTCAAAGTGGGCAAAATTGTCAATGCGTGAACATCGTCAAGACCGCTAACTTTGCGAGAGCATAATTCTGTAAGTTTTCCATCAAATTTCATACTTTTGATGTCATTATGATCGGGAAAAGATTCTCTATCTTTTCATAAGAATATATATATATATAATATATATATATATATATATATATATATATATTATATATATATATATATATATATATAAATATATATATATATATATATATATAAATATATATATATATATATATATATATATATATATATATATATATATATATATATTTATATTTATATATTTTTTTTTTTTTTTTTTTTTTTTTTTTGAAATTTGGGGGACCCTGAGAACAAGTCTCTAAGAGGGCCTGTGGACCCTGAAAGGGTTAAAACTGTATACGTATGTATAAGGGTTAAAACTGTGTACGTATGTATATGTATGTAGATGTCTTTCCCAAAAAGAGGAAAGACACCTACATTCATTTAATCTCTGTACTTGTCTACATGTCATTGCAGGGGTCAGGTCTTAGCTCTTGCCAGGAATATGCTGACATTAATTCTGAAAATCATCTGGCTGCAACATTCCCAGCCCTCCTTTAAAGTGCAAGCATCGCTCTTCACATTTCGAAAACTCAAGTCTAGTCAACAAGTTTCCCCTGAATCCCTTCGTGAATGTTGCCTTGTTCACACTCCAACAGAATATTCATTAAAAAAAACACTTGCCTCCTTTAACTCCTACTTCACATTCACACAAACCTGTTGGATGCTCAAGCTCCTAAAACTTAAAAGTCTCCTTTACCCCCCCCCCCCTCCCTCCAACCATTCCTAGAATTACCCCTATTACTTTCCACTACATTTATACACCCTCTTCAGCATGCTCCCTCTCTGCATCATCTCTACAAGCCAAAAGCACTTCAACAACCCCTCCTCAGGTCTGCATTATACCCTTGGTGACCCCACACCAACTTTTAATTTCTACGCTCTAAATTCTCTGTATAATATTCACACACGTCACTCTCAAACAAAATATCTCCAATGCCTCAATATTAATTATTTTAATTAACCAAATAAAACTGGCAAAGGAAAATTCACAATGGTACATGGCTGTAGGAATATGTAAAAACCACTTAGTAAAAGTAAGTTTACCTTCCCTAAGCTTTTTAAACCATAAGCCCACTGCAAGCAAGAAATAAAAGTGCAAAATGTGTAAAGTAGTGAGGATTAAGTAAATATGAATATTATGAAAATAGTGTGCATTTTTAACATCTGTATGAAAACCAAGATACAAAAATTGCCAAAATACACTGTATAACAGGTGCATATAAACAATATGGTGTATGTGCAAAGATACTGTCAATGTAATTTTCTAAGAGAAAGAAGCATGCAACAAACCTGGTTTTAAGTCCTTCATGGCCAGAGAAGAATTCATTGGTGGCCATGGAAAACAATGTTAATCCATGAGTGCTTGTATATAGCTGAGTGCTTGTGAACATTCATAATTCATGGCAAAACATTAATAAGACTTAGACAGTTGCATACAGCACTATCGTACTTTAAAAATCCAACCTTTGTTAATCCCTTGAGGAGGAGAATTTACATTATCACCAATATACATGAACTTTCAATCTTCTCAATGTTCATGGGATTAAAACACGTGTGAATTAGCATTGTCTTCCAAATGACTGAAGAAATACATTAGATGTCACCATCTCAGCGCCTGTGGCAAGGAGGGTGTTAAGAGTTGAGTCAGTTGCTCCTCCCAAAAAATAAAAATCCAAAAGCAAAACCTAAGAAGCTACATGCATAATCAAACGCTTTTTGTTGCTCAGTATCATTAACAGTAAACAAATATATGAAAATATATACAATATGTAGATCAATATGTTATTAGGAAATATTTTTTGAAAATAATAATGATCACATAAAATTATCTTGAGCTTTATTTAGAATAATGTTAACATCTTAAATTCCAACTTCCTATTCAGAAAAACTACTTAAATAAGAGAAGCAATTTTGCATGTTGTAAAAGAAAGAGCCCCGTCAAGACTGTACGATTCATACACAAATAATCCGTACATAGGAGAAAAAACTTATGACGACATTTCGGTCTGCCTTG